GGTTCGACGACAACGACGCCGCCATCAGAAATCTGCTAGCTGAGAAGAACCGCCTACACAAAGCCTACGTAGATCACCCCACTGATGCCACCAAAGCTGCCTTCTACCGCAGTCGCCGCCAGCTTCAGCAACGACTGCGCGGGATGCAGGACGCCTGGACTGCTCGCAAAGCTGAGGAGGTCCAAGGATACGCGGACCACAACGAATGGAAGAACTTCTTCTCTGCGATCAAAGCTGTCTACGGTCCGCCGACAAAGGGCACTGCTCCTCTCCTCAGCGCCGACGGCAACACTCTTCTGACTGAGAAGACGCAAATCCTACAGCGATGGGCCGAGCATTTCCGAGGCGTCCTCAACCGCCCCTCCGTCATCTCCGACGCCGCCATCGAGCGTTTGCCGCAAATGGAGACCAACGTGGACCTCGACCTCCCGCCATCTCTCCAGGAGACCATCAGGGCCGTGCAGCAGCTCTCCAGCGGGAAAGCACCCGGATCGGACACAATCCCTGCTGAGGTCTACAAGCACGGAGGTCCCCAACTGATGGATCACCTGACTGCGGTCTTCCAAGAGATGTGGCGTCAAGGTGAAGTCCCGCAAGATTTCAAAGACGCAACCATCGTGCATCTCTACAAGCGAAAAGGGAATCGCCAAGTCTGCGACAATCACCGCGGCATCTCCCTGCTGAAAATCGCCGGGAAGATCTTCGCTCGCATCATTCTCAACCGCCTCAATAACCATCTGGAACAGGGCCTTCTGCCGGAAAGCCAATGCGGCTTCCGTCGTCATCGTGGGACCACGGATATGATCTTCGCCGCCCGTCAACTTCAGGAGAAGTGTCAGGAGATGCGGACCCACCTGTACTCTACCTTCGTGGACCTGACGAAAGCCTTCGACACGGTGAATCGTGATGGACTGTGGAAGATCATGCAGAAAGTCGGCTGTCCGGAGCGATTCACTCAGATGGCGCGTCAGCTGCACGACGGTATGATGGCGCGAGTCACGGACAACGGAGCTGTCTCAGAGGCATTCGCAGTGACCAATGGAGTGAAGCAGGGCTGCGTACTGGCGCCTACCCTCTTCAGTCTTATGTTTTCTGCCATGCTGATGCACGCCTACCGCGACGAACGCCCCGGGATCCGCATCGCCTACAGGACGGACGGTCACCTCCTGAATCAACGACGGATGCACATCCAATCGCGCGTATCCACAACCACCGTTCACGAACTCCTCTTCGCCGACGACTGCGCCCTAAACACCACCTCGGAAGAGGAGATGCAACGGAGCATGGACCTGTTCTCCGCCGCCTGCGAGAATTTCGGTCTGGTCATTAACACGCAGAAGACGGTGGTGATGCACCAACCGCCACCCAACTCGGCCACAGCCCCCAACGCGCCGCCGCAAATCAGCGTGAATGGGACCCAACTTCAAGTGGTGGAGAACTTCCCGTACCTGGGCAGTACTCTCTCCCGCAACACCAAAATCGACGACGAAGTCGCCAACAGGATCTCGAAAGCCAGTCAAGCCTTCGGTCGCCTCCAAAGCACAGTTTGGAATCGCCATGGTCTTCAGCTGAGCACGAAGCTGAAGATGTACAAGGCCGTCATCCTGCCGACAGTACTGTATGGAGCGGAGACTTGGACGGTGTACGCAAAGCAGGCACGTCGTCTGAACCACTTCCAACTCAGTTGTCTTCGTCGCATCCTGAGGCTAAAGTGGCAGGATCGAATACCCGACACTGATGTGCTGGAACGGACGGGAATCCTCAGCATCTACGCCATACTGAGGCAAATTCAGCTGCGCTGGAGCGGCCACCTGGTGCGCATGGACAACGAGCGACTAACCAAACGACTCTTCTACGGAGAAGTCGCGACGGGTTCTCGCCGTCAAGAAGGCCAGATTCGCCGTTACAAGGATACCCTGAAGTCCTCCCTGAAACGCCTGCAAATCAACCCCATCGACTGGGAGAAGCTCGCACTCGATCGACCGACCTGGAGGAGGACAGTGAAGACAGGCGCTGCGATCTACGAAGCCAACCGCATCGCTGCCGCCAAAGCGAAACGTGAAGCCCGCTAATCACAACTTCG